TTCAAGTGCAGGTGACCTGTTTTATAAAATGACTTATTTTCCATTACATAAATAAACAGTAGTGCGATTGTTGGATCAAGTGGTAGTTCTACCTTTATTTCTTTGAGAAATCTCCATACTGTTTTCTATAGAGGTTTTACTAATCTGTAGTCTCACCAACAGTATATAAGCATTCCTTTCTCTCTGCCTTCATGCCAGGATCTATTGTTTTTTGACTTCTTACTAAAGGCCACTATGACAGGGGTAAGGTGGTATCTCATTGTGGTTTTGATTTGCATTTCCCTGATGATTAGTGATGCTGAACACTTTTTCATATGTTTCTTGGCCATTAGTCTATCTTCTTTTGAAAAACTTCTGTTCATATTTTTTACCCACTTTTTGATGGAATTGTTTGGTGGATTTTTTTGTTTCTTTGTTTTGGTTTTTTGCTGATTTGTTTGAGTTCTTGGTAGATTCTGTATATTAGCCCTTTATATAGTTCGAGAATATTTTCTACCATTTTTTCTACGTTGTTGATTATTTCCTTTCTTATGTAGAAGCCTTTTAATTTACTTAAGCTTCATTTATTATTTTTGTTCTTGTGTTTGTCTTTTCGGTCTTAATAATAAATTCTTTGCCTCGGCCAATGCCTAAAAGAGTTTTTCCTACAGTTTCTTCTAGAACTTTTATGGTTTCCTGTCTTCCATTTAAGTGTTTTATTCATCTTGAATTAATTTTTGTATATGGCAAGAGGTAGAGGTATTGTTTCATTGTTCTACATATTGCTATCCAGTTTTCCCTGAATCATTTATTGAATAGGGCTTCCTTTCCCCCATGTATGTTGCTGTCTGCTTTGTCAAAGATCAGTAGATTGTAGGTAGATGATTTTATTTCTGGGTTCTCTATTCTGTTCCATCGGTCTGTGTCTCTACCATTATACCAGCACCACACTGTTTTGGTTACTGTAGCCTGGGATTTAGTAAGCACCAGTAACTAGAATGATTATGAAGGAAATTGGAAATATTTTACCCCCAAATATGATGTTTTGTCATTCTGAACTGACTGAAGAGTTCTCAAGGTCTGTCTGACCTTTCCCCCTCTCCCCCACCACCACCATTGACTCTCCCAAAATCATTGAAGTGTCTTTATCTGACTGAGATCCAGACCCACCTAGGGGAACAATTGTTCTTTTCTTTCCCTCCCTGTAATACCAGGGGTGTCACCACACTGAACAGACTCTTTAAGATAATGTTCTATCTCTCAGACTCATCTAAACTCCAGAAGGGAACTATTTACCAGTTAATCTTTGTTTCCCATCCATTCATCCTCCCTGGTGGTCCTTTGTTGTCCCTGGACACAGTTCTTATTTTTCCCCTCCCATAACCCACTTTACCAGAAAGGCATAAAAGCTTCTGAACTCCACTGAGGAGCTGAATCCTTATTTTCTGTGTGTTCCCATGTATACATGTAAAACAAATTTGGTAACTTGTCTCTTATTAATCTGCTTCATTGTGAGTTGATTCTTCAGCAAACCTTCTGATGGTGAAGGGAAGTTTTGTCGTTTCCCCCACAATTACTTAAGGCCACCCTTATGTGTTATCATTTATTATATAGGCCAATATAAAAAAATATATATAGACATTCAAAATTAGTTAACTGTTTTGTCAAATATAAATGTGAGAGATATTTTCTGGACATTTTTCTTATTTGGGTATTGTGCTTTTATATGAGTTCTGAGAAACTTTTTATTCACCAAAATTGTGGTTCAACTTTCACTGCTTATTAAAAGTAGGTGAATTTTGTATAATAAAAAGAACCTAAAAGATGTGCACTCAAATATTAATAACTCAAGAAGTAGCCTGAGCACCATAAGTGGTGATTTGGAACAAGCCATGAATATCTCTGGGCACCAGACCCATCATCCATGAAATAGGAGCTTGGATTCCATCCCACGTTTGCCTCCCAGTTCTTCCCTGAGGAGCACACAGACTGACAGATGGACAGTGCAGAGGAAACTGTAAACAGGCTCCTCCAAAGAGCAACAGTAACATCTGCACATGTCTCTAGATTGATATTTGGAGTGGATTAACTCAATTCTATATCAGAAAGAGACTTTGAACAGTGTAGGTGATTCCACCAGCATTCTGCTCACTGAGGAAAAGGAGGCTCTGCTTAAGAAGGCAACACTTCAGGAGAATGAATGATATTTTAGTGTTTGAAGGTACATGTTTTGCACAACAAAGCCCTACAAATAAACCACCTACTTGATTTGCTGCTTAGTTTAATTAATATATATTAATTAACATACATAATTAATATATATTTATCAATAAAAAGAATTTTATCAAAAGGGACAGTAAATAAGAGAAACAACAAAAACAAACTTCCAACCAAGTTCAAATATTTTATAAAAACAGAACTCATTGAGGGAAAATCAAGCCGTTATCAAAAACTTGGCACTTGTCCATGAGGCTGAATCAGAAGAACAAATAGAAGTGGTATGGGGAGGAGGAAAGAGTCTTAGTACTTTTCTAGCAAAGGAGGAAAAATGGTAGACCTTCACATCTCAAAATCCAAATTTCCTGAACATTTGCAGAAATACAGAGCTTTTAAAGTATGGGTTCTCAGCTTGAGGCAATTACTATTCAACTACAGTTGATGATTCTGATCATCCCATTTCCACTGAAGACAATCTCATGACCTCTGCCCAGGACCTCCCTTTACCAGGTCAAGCTGGGCCATCTCCTGTTGCACAAATAAATAAACAAAAGTCTTACCCTGCCCCTCCTAACCATTGGCCTGAGGCAGGGATGCAGGCTTTAGTTCTCAAAAAAGAGCAGAGTATGTTTTAAAGAGACAGAAAATATTTTTGCTGTTTTTTCCAGGCCATTCCCTCTGTTACATATTTCCTACTGTCAATATTTCCCTTCCATATGCATGGGAAGAGGGGTGACTACTCTGTTACAAACCATGTCGATACTAGGATCAGCAAATGGGGAATGAATGACCATTTCAATCCATAAATCAAGGATTTAGCAATGCTGAATATAAAAAACAAGCCAACAAACAAGCTATGTTGCATTTTATAGTGCCAAAATATTGAATAGAGATTAGAAAATTTCAAAAATCATAAATAATATTATAGTTATATTGAAAATGTTTAATTATTACTTGTTAAATAAAATTGATGATTTTTGAGTAATCATATTTTTGTCTGTTTCCTAAAAAGAAATATGATCCAACACCCTATTCCAGGAAAGACACTGACATAATTTGTTTTATTTATCAATGTTTCTTTCAAATTATCGTATCTCTCTCAGTGCCAATTTGAAGTTTTTATAGCTTAAAATCCATATAGAATGAGCATACAGAAACCAAGAAAAACAAGGTAATTTGGTTGTTCCCAGGCCCTCCAGACTTCTGGGATTAACTTTTTAAATATCGAATAACTTAATCTTTTATCCTACTATGATAAATCCTGTGATCACCATAATATCCTAGGGTTTTCCAGAAAGAAGAGAGTCATAGGTAGGTATTTCATTTTCTCATAATTTTACATTCTAAATTTTGTCTTCCTAACTTGAGTTTCAAAAACCACTCAAAATTTTTTATCAAGAAGCCACTATTTCTTCTCTACCCAATTCCCCACAAACATGACCACAGTGTTTCTGCCTTCATTCCTGAAATAATAATACTGCATGACCATTGCATATTACAATTTTTACCAAAACTCATTGGACAGTGCACAATAAATACATCATTCCGCAGAACGGGATACAAATTCAGATTAAAGTGCAGTTTCTAAATCCTCATTGAACATTCCCTATAGAGGGACCTCTTAATTATTGACTGTGTGTCTCGTTGGGTCCTGGGCTAATGACCTTTGCTGGGGTCCTTTTTCTCACATGCCTTGATCTCTGAAATACATGTCCCTGGTAATATTTCAAACTCATTTTTCAATTTACTGAGAAAATCACCTCCCTGTTGCAGCCAATGATCTCCCAACTATACTAGCTTAAAAGGCCTCCTCTTTCCCCAAAGAAAGAACTATCAAACTGCTTTCCTAAGCAAACAAACAAATGTAAAAGAATCAATACCCTCCCTGTCACAAATTCATGTATCAATCTGGAACAAAGCACAGTCAACTTCCAAATTAGAAATGTTTTTTCATATTCCATGTTTACTGAAATACAAATAGTAAAGCAGAAAAAAAATATGTTAGAAAGAGCAGTAGACTTGAATAAGAAGGTGAAGAATTTAGTTTTTTTCCTTAAGAAATTGTGTGACTATGGCCATACCATCCTGAATGTGCCTGATCTTGTCTGATCCTAAGAATTTGTGTGACCAAGTAAATCATTACCACACAGAGCTTCACTTTCCCATGCATGCAATAATTAAACATTGTCCTCCTGTTATGTGATGGTTTGAGTGTAAAAAGGTAAGTATAATAAGTTTAATAAGAAAACTCTTAGCCAAATGATACCTAATCCATAGTGCTTACAGTTGCAAAGTAATCTATACTTAATAGTCCTTATGAAACCTCCCATCCCTGGCATTTAAAGAAGACATATTCTTGCCCAGTGTTTGACAGAAAGATGGGAGTAGAAACAGATTAATGGATTAATGCCACCAATAGAGAGTGGCAGATAACAATTCCCATCCCTCTAATGACACAATGATTCACAAAGTGTTACTTTGCTTGATCATATGCATACTATTTATTTTTTTCCAAAGAAAAAAGTAATGTTGCAAATAAAAATTTGAAAAAACTAAAAAATATAAATTTCTTCCATAATGTTATTACCGTACTGAAAAAAGATGAGAAGAAAGCAATTAAGCAAATAGTGAGGAAAGGAAAAAGACATACTACATAAACAGTGAAAATGAATTATTGATAGAAGGCTCAAATTTTCTTCACCATAGTAAAAAAACAGGATAAGAGGCTGTAGCTAAAATACTGCAATTAAACAACAGACTATCCCTGTCCTGTAACTACATGTGCAGAGACATCCTATTTCTGATTAAAACTTTCTTCTACTAATGGTTTTTCTCAGAGCAAGATGAACATCCTTGTTTCTCAAGCTGTAGATCAAGGGGTTCATCAAAGGAACTGTATTGGTGTAAAAGACAGAAGAGATTTTTCCCTGATCCATAGATTCAGCCGACGACGGTTTGAGGTACATATATATACCTGATCCGAAGAATAGAGAAACAGCAATTATGTGGGAACTGCAGGTGCTGAAGGCTTTGGACCTGCCCTCCTTGGTCTTGATATGGAGGATGCTGGAGAGAATAAAACCATAAGAAATAAAGATGGTGAGAGTGGACACAGTGAAGATGATACCTGCTGCAATGAAAACCACCAGCTCATTTATGTAGGTGCTGGTGCAGGAGAGCTGGAGCACAGGCAGGATGTCACACAAATAGTGGTTGATGGCGTTTGCATCACAGAAGGTCAGTCTCAGCATGCATCCAGTGTGGGCCACGGCACCAGAGAAGGCCATCAAGTATGAACCAAGCATAAGGTTGCAACATACTTTAGGGGACATGGCAATGTTATACAAAAGTGGGTTACAGACAGCCACATAGCGATCATAGGCCATTGATGTCAGCACATAAGTTTCAGATATGGCAAAAAAACAAAAAAAGAAAAGCTGTGTCATGCACCCCGTGTAGGAGATAATGTTCTTCTCTGATATGAAGTTCATCAGCATTTTGGGTGTAAACACAGAAGAATAACAGAGGTCTATGAAGGACAAGTTAAAGAGGAAAAAGTACATGGGGATATGGAGGTGGGAATTCAGCCCAATTAGAGTTACCAAGCCCAAATTCCCCAACACGGTGACCACATACATTGCTAGAAACAGAAGGAATAAAGGGAGTTGGAGACCTGGCTGGTCTGTTAATCCCACCAGAATGAATTCAGTCACAGAAGAGCCATTTCCAGGAGCCATTCTTCTCTAAGGGATCTGTGGACATAGGAAGTAAGGCTTGCATTGGATTAGAATCCTGCTTTTCCCACCATAGGTGCACTCAAGAGTGTGAGGTATGCACTGGAATTATCTGAGACTAGCCCAATATAGACTCACAGAATCTGCCTTTACCACTACCGTGATACTGATGGACACTGACTTCCCCTCATGAGAGACTTACTAAACTAAATACAGCAAAAAGCACCACCAATTTAGCCCACAGCTTGTAGGGAGCAAGGCTCTGGCCCCCTACGGTTTGCTAAAAAATCACTGACATGAGGCAGATTAATTGGAGAAAAAGACATGCAAATTTATTTAGCATGTATAGAAGGGACCCTTCAGTAAGAAGATTCAATTCCTCAATGAGGTACAGAGCTTTTGGAAGAATTGGGGCTTGGAAGCAGTACGACAGCTTTTGTGAGGGATAAAGGAAGAGGCTTGGCTAGCTAGCAAAGGTGGTCTTATGTAAATGAAACCTTAGAGGTACCAGCACTCTGAGAGACTAGATGGTAAATGTTTTTCTCTTCTCAAGCCTTAAAAGATGTCAGACTCTCAGTTACTCTTTCCTTGATTGAGAAAGGAAAGAATTAGCTGTATTAAAGGAGATTCTCAAAAGATATAAATTCCCTCCCCCATCCCCGCACCACAAAAGACAGCTTTGCAGTTACTTCTATCTGTTAGACCCATAGCAGCCATCTCAAAATATACCAAAGAAATATATTGTGTGGTAAAATATTTCTAATTTTGTTCAAGAGTGAAGGCCAGAGGTTCCATATGCAAATGTGACTGCTAGAAAGACCAAGGGGTAAGAAGGAAGAAGGGTGGAAGAGCACAGAATCATCCTTTGCTCATTTCCTCACTGAGATGAGCCCTCTCCTCACCAGTAAAATCAGAGGCAGAGGCCTGAACATCCTGGTGCCGATATCTAATGCAGGTTAGACTCTGTTGGGTGGAAGCCAGGAACACAGTTGCCAATCCAAAAACAAGGGCCTAGGGTCTAGGAGAAGTTAGGTTACTGTCTCATGTCATAGAATAAAAGCCCTACATCTAGAGCAGGGAGAGCTGTGTCCATGGAGAGCGAACTTACTGATTAGGTACTGCAAACATTGGGTCCACTAATGTTGCTGTGTATTCTCTGCTCCCCTCTCAAACAGATGTTTCCACTAGTTTCACCTGAGCCTCAGGAAAGCACAAAATAGGAAAGAGGAATATCTTAGATCCCTGGACTTCCATCTCAAAACAAAGAGGACGCTAATATGCACGGAATTCAGAAACTCACCCTTCTTAGTCCAGAAAACCTTAATGCTTCCTGTTGCTGTTATTAACCACTGGGGTTCTGGAAGGGCAATTTCAGCCTCTAAGTCTTAAGTTTTTTTAAGTCTGAGAAGACGTAGCCTGGACTCATATTCCATTGTGCCCTGGAATGCTTCTGAACTATAGATTATTACATCTTTTTATAAGCAGCAGAGAAAAATACAGTCTTTATTATCATTATCATTTTTTCCCCTGGTAAGACATTAAAGATTTAATGCGAGTTTAATGACATAATGCACCTTGTTATAAACAGGGTAGAAGCTAAGTCACTTCTCCAGGGAACAGCACCTAGGTTTAAGGGGGAAATGAGAGCTTTGTGTTTACACCTGGGCCATGATTTCTCTGTTATTCCTTAGAGACTCAATTGTTCACTCAACTTTTTCCTTCTCCCTAGGGTTTGTACATCCCTTAAGGCAGAGCAAAAATAAACTCCTATCTCCTCCATCATCTTCACATCTGATGGGAAATCAATTATATTGATTTTTTTCTCTCCTTTTTCTCTCTTCTAAATAGGAATTGTCCACAGGGTCTGTCTCCTGGCTTCCTTATTTCTTTACCTGAAATTTTTCAAAGCATCCTAATCTATTCAGGCCACTATAACAAAATATCATAGATTGGGTGGCTTATTAAAAACAGAAATTGATTTTTAACGGTTTTGGACACTAAAAGGCTGAGATCAAGGCACCAGCAGGTTCAGTGTCTGGTGAGGGCCTGCTTCCACATAGACAGCCACCTTCTTACTCTAACCTCAGGTGGGAAGAAGGGGAAAAGGCCCTCTCTGGATTCTTTTGGAAGAGCACTAATCCTAGTCAAGAGGTTTCAGCCTCCATGACCTAATCACCTACTAAAATCCCCACCTCCTAATACCATTACTTTGGGAGTGAGGTATTCAATATGTGAATTTTGGGGAGACATAAACATTCAGAGAACAGCACTAAGATTGTAGTAACTCACTCCAGTTGACTTCTTTCCTGGGATATATTTGAAAAACAATTTGATGCCTTAAGTCCCTTTTTAAGTTTTTATATGTAAACACCCAAAAGAAATTTCTACATAAGTGTCCTGCTGGGTCCTTAAATTTAACATTTCATTAATGAGATCATAAATTAATTCTATTAATAATTATAGTAATGCAGAGTTTGGGCTATGGAGTTATAGTAAATGCACTGGAATCCTATCCCCAGGTTTAGGCAAGTTACTTGACCTCCCTGTGCCTTAGCTTCACATTTATAAACTAAGTATGGTAAAAATAGCATCTTTCATAGGGTGGTTGTGATGATTAAGTAAAATGGTTAGAACAGTGTTAAGTAGGCCATAAATATCAGCTGTCATTATTTATGTTCTCACAGCTTCTGGTACGTTCTCCATCATGAAACTCATCAGACATTTTTTTCCCTTTGAGTTCTGGGTTCCCCTATAAAGTTCTATATAAATAAATATCACTTCTGTCTTGTTTTATTATACACTTTGCACCAGGTAGTAAGTACAGTTCACAGTACATTGTATGTACTAAAGAAATATTTGTGAAAATCACATTGTTCTCCAGCTAAAACCCTTCAGAATATTTTTCACATGTCCCACATACTAAACCATAGAGTTTACAGCTACAAAAACCTCCATTCCTTTCTCTCAACTATTACACATGTTCAAACACTTTTTATTTTATATTATTCTTTAAAATAAGTAAGTTTTTTTATTTCAGAATATTATGGGGGTACAAATGCTTTGGTTACATATATTACCTTTGCACCGCCCAAGTCAGAACTACGGGCATGCCCAACCCCCAGACATCATGCACTATAAACATTAGTTGTGAGTTTATCCATCCCTTCCTCCTCCCTCTCACCTGTCCAACACCCTATGAATGTGACTTCCCTATGTACATATAAAGTGTTGATCAATTAGTACCAATTTAATGGTGAGTACATGTGGTGCTTGTTTTTCCTTTTTTGTGATACTTCACCTAGAATAATGAGCTCCAGCTCTATCCAAGATAGTACATGAGGTATCAGTTCATCATTTTTTATGGCCAAGTAGTACTCCATGATATGCATATATCACAATTTATTAATCTACTCATGTATTGATGGACAGTTGGGTTGTTTCCACATCTTTGCAATTGTGAATTGTGCTGCTATGAACATCCAAGTGCAGATGTTTTTTGAATAGAATGTCTTTTTTTCTTTCGATAAATACCCAGTAGTGGAATTGCTGGATCAAATGGTAGTTCTACTCTGAGTTCTTTGAGGTATCTCCATATTAATTTTCATAGAGATTGTACTAATTTTCAGTCCCACCAGCAGTGTAACAGTGTTCCCATCTCTCTGCATCCATGCCTACATTTGTTGTTTTGGTGCTTTTTGATTAAAGGTATTCTCACTGGAGTTAAGTGATATCTCATTGTGGTTTTAATTTGCATTTCTCTGATGATTAGAGATGTTGAGCATTTTTTCATATGTTTGTTGGCCAATAGTCCGTCTTCTTTTGAAAAATTTCTGTTCATGTCCTTTGCTCACTTTTTAAAGGGGTTGTTGGATTTTTTCTTGTTAATCTTCCTGAGTTCTAAATAGATTCTAGTTATCAGCCTTTTATTGGATTTGTAGCATGCGAAAATTTTTTCCTATTCTGTAGGTGTCTATTCACTCTAGTGACAGTTTCCTCAGCTGTGCAGCAGCTTTTTAATTTGATCAGGTCCCATTTATTTATTTTTGTTTTTGCTGTGATTGCCTTTGGGGTCTTCTTCATAAACTCTTTGCTTAGGCTGATGTCTATAAGAGTTTTTCCTACATTTTCTTCTAGAATTCTTATGGTTTCATGCCTTAAGTTTAAATCTGTTATCCATCATGAGTTGGTTTTTGTGAGACATGAAAGGTGTGGATCCTGGTTCAGTCTTCTACATGTGGCTATCCAGTTTTCCCAGCACCGTTTATTGAATAAGGATTTTTTTCCCCAGTGCATATTTTTGTCTGCTTTGTCAAAGATCAGATGGTGATATGAGGATGGTTTTATATCTGGGTTCTCTGTTCTGTTCCATAGATTTATGTCTCTGTTCTTGTGCAAATACCATGCTGTTTTGGTTACTATAGCCTTGTAGTATAGTTTAATCTGGTAAATTGATGCCTCTCAATTTGTTCTTTTTGCTTAAGGTTGCTTTTGATACACAGGGTTTTCCCTGGTTCCATATGAGGCATAGAATTATTTTTTCTAGGTCTGTGAAAAATGATGTTGATATTTTAATAGGGATTGCATTGAATCTGTGGGCCACTGTGGGTAGTATAGCCATTTTAATAATGTTGACCATGCTGATCCATGAGCATGGTATGGTTTTCCATCTGTTTGTGTCCTCTGCTATTTCCTTCCTCATTGTTTCATAGTTCTCCCTGTAGAGGTCTTTCACCTCCTTAGTTAAATATATTCCTAGGTATTTTATTTTCTTTGTTGCTATTGTGAAAGGTATTGAGTCTTTGATTTAGTTCTCAGTTTGACTGTTGTTGGCATATATGCATGCTACTGAATTTGTGTACGTTGATTTTGTAACTGGAGACTTTGCTAAATTTGTTTATCAATTCCAGTAGTCTCAGTGCAAAATTTTTGGGGTTTTCTAGATATAAGATTATATTGTCAGCAAAGAATGATAGTTTGACCTTTTCTGCCCCCATTTAGGTGCC